CCCCCCCGAGTCTCCCCCCTCCATCCCGCCTGCCTCTGCCGGCTGCTGTGCTCCTTAGCAAGGGAAACAAGTGGTTGCTGTTGTTGTGTTGCTTCTGTTATGTTTAAACTCTCTATCCTTCTTACCTATCTCCAAATACAGTAAGCCCCCTGAGGTTTTCGCAGAATGGGTTCTGAGTCTATGCCTTAAGTCTAATTTATACACATCGGAGAAATTTAGAACTCGGCTCCAGCCATCCTATCATGAATCCCGAAAGTAAAGAATTTTCTTAAAATTAAATATATCGACCAACAGTTATTTTTACAGAGATATTTTGTTATCAGGTTTATTAGAAATCCATTACAATGTAGAAATAATAAATCTTCAAAGATACATTACCCCCATGACAATGGAGTGATATTCTTTTATGACTCCTAGTATCTAATAATTTCTGCATAACTTGGAGGAACAGACATAATAACTCTCTGTAGCCTCTCCCTTTCTCTCTAAAAATCAATTTAAAGAGAGAGAGAGAGAGGAGCTTTGTTAGGTGCTACCACCATAGGGTAAGACCCATTTGGGCAATAACCATTGATTCCTAAATTTAAGATCTGCCTCGGTCAGATCAACTTAGAAAATAATTGTTGAAAGTCTTCATTCTAAAATATTTGCTCAGACTTACACAGAGTAAGATATTAAAGTGAATTAATATTAAAATAAGAGGATTTCCATAACAACAGACTGGACAATCAGAACCAACTCTTCTCCTGAACATTATGGGAGAGCTTCCAGAACTGAAAACCAAATAACAAAAACAACAGAAGTTAGGTTGCCCTGGTACACATTCTTAAAGACAAAACAAACCAACAGCAGGATTAGCCCGCTAGAAGTTTCCAACATTGAAGATGGCTTCTGAGCGTGGGGAAAATGCTTTTTTAAGAATATTTTCATAAAGGCAGCTGAAAGTGAAAAAATATGAGACGCACCCTCTCCCCCCAGAATTGCCGAGTCTGTTAGAGAGGTGCATGTTTTAATGTTGAAGTTTCCATTTACTTTGTGCTCGCTACCCAGTGGTCGTGTCATCTGACTCACAGCTGCATAGAACCACTAAAGCTCCTCATGGGGCAGACCTAACCTCTCAGTGACTGGGACTTGATATGTTGCTGTCCTCTTCAACTCCTCTCTTCTTCAAAGCCAACAATTCAGCCATTGAAACGTCCCCATTTCAATTCTGTTCTCAGGACATCATTATAAGCTAGCACAGATATCCCCTCCCGCCTCCCTACTTAGATGATTTTTCCAACGTCTCCTAATTATTCTCCCATTTCTGCTCTCTCTCTGGTGTACCTCCAACCTCTGCCTACTCCATCCTCAACATTACTAGGAGATTAGCATTCCCAAAATATTGGACCATCCTTTCCACAAAGTCTTGCAAACAGCAGAAATTCAATCTCTATCTGTTGATAAGTTAAAGCATTCAACCACCCCTTACCGCATGAGATAAAGCAGTGATTCCCAAAGTGGGCGCTACCGCCCCCTGGTGGGCGCTGCAACGATCCAGGCATCCAGGGGGGCGGTGATGGCCACAGGTGCATTTAACTTTTTTCGTATTACCTTTCTCTTCTGAGTTCAATAAATAGTTTCATAATTTCAAACTTCAATGTTTCTAATTTACACCTTTACTATATTTTACGAAAAAGGTAGAAACATTAATACATATATCTTTCTGTTTGTTATTAAAATTTTTTAAAAAATTAATTTCCAGGGAGCGCTGAGTAATATTTTTTCTGGAAAGGGGGCGGTAGGCCAAATAAGTTTGGGAACCACTGAGATAAAGAGTACAGTAAACTCAGCCTGCCATTCAAGGCCTGCCATCCATGCCCCTAGTCCTTTACAACCATATTTTCTACCTTCTACTTCCCAATAAAAACTCTCTTTCCTGGCAGGACAAACCCCTCAGTGTCCTAGACAACACCATGCTCATCTTTGTCTCCTGGGCTCCTAAGGAGATCCCCTTCCCCTCTGCGACTGATGATGCCCAAAGCCCTACTCAGCTGCCGCTCCCTTGAGAAACCGGCCGCCGTGCCTCCAGCCCTCGTGGATCACTCTCTCTCTCTTATTCTCTGTGAAAGGAGATGTGTGCGATGGTTCTGGGGCTGGGGGAGGATGACAATAAGAGAGAGTCCAGAAAGGAGGAAAGTTTTCAGGGGCCAGACAGCCAGTGCTCCTAGAGCAGTGGTTCTCAACCTTCCTCCTGCCGCGACCCTTTAATGCAGTTCCTCATGTTGTGGGGACCCCCAACCATAACATTATTTTCGTTGCTGCTTCATAACTGTACTTTTGCTACTGTTATGAATCGTCATGTAAATATCTGATATGCAGGATGTATTTTCATTGTTACAAATTGAACATAATTAAAGCATAGTGATTAATCACAAAAACAATATGTATTTATATATGTGTTTTCTGATGGTCTTAGGCGACCCCTGTGAAAGGGTCGTTCGACCCCCCAAAGGGGTCGCGACCCACAGGTTGAGAACCGCTGTTCTAGAGACTTGGAACTTCTTGTTAGCTTCCCCTCTCTTAAAAAAATAGAGCACATGGACCCCCAGAAAGAGCGCCTGTCTTTACCTGAGTGGAGCTGAGGAAGCCGGGCAGGGCTGAGCAGCTGGGCTTCAGAAATTCCCAAGCACTTTGTGCTGCGTCCACTCGAGGTCTGACTTTCCCCTCTGGGTTCTCAGACCGGATCCAGGAAGATGGACGCTTGCTCCGTCACTCTCCCCACTCACTGCCGATCTTTATCACGATCAAGGCAGCACCCTCGCCCTCAGCCCTTTAAATTGGCCTCAGCTGAGTGGAGTTTCCTTCAGCTGGAGTTCGGGCAGCCTGCCTCATCAGCAGGTCAACAAGATGGGGCACGGTGGTGAGTCGCCGTCTCAGCAAACAGATTCATTTCTACTGAGGCCTGAGAGCAAAATCTATTATCATTTGGACATTTTACCTATTACCCCCTGTAGATTCAACAACAACAAAGGATTTCTGGACAGCCTGGTTTTAAAGGATAAAGAGCTCCTTGAGGAACATGATAGGCACAGCCCACGGCAACCTTTTCCTTCTTAGCTGACCCAGACACGGAGACAGAGAAAAAAAACCATCTAAACCAGTGGTTCTCAACCTTGGCTGCACATTAGAATCACCTGGGAATCTTTTTAAAATCCTCATTTCTGGGCCTCATCCTTCGGAAATTCTGTTTCTTTGTTACTAATGTTGTGGCCCCACCCCATAACAAAGAAACAGAATTTCCGGAGGATGAGGCCCAGAAATCAGGATTTTAAAAAGATTCCCAGGTGATTCTAATATGCAGCCAAGGTTGAGAACCACTGACCTAGGGACTATTCAGCATGGAAACATTTATTAAACATCAATAACATACCTTCTTAATGACATGGAAGCCCTAGCCAGGTGGCTCAGTTGGTTGAAGCATCATCCTGTACACCAAAAGATTGTGGGTTCGATTCCTAGTCTGGGCACATACGTAGGTTGGGGGCTCTGTCTGTGGTTGGATACATACAGAAGGCAACCAGTCAATGTTTCCTTCTCCCTCTAATTCTCTCTCTCTCTCTCTCTCTCGCTCGCTCTCTCTCTCTCTCTCTCTCTCTCTCCCTCCCTCCTCTCTCTCTAAAATCAATAAAAAATTGTCCTGGAGTTGGATAGAGGGAAAAATGGGGTATAGCTATAATATTCTCAAGAATAAAATAAATGTTTTTAAAAAATCAAACAGGACCTCCAAATTTCCAGGAAGTGCCAGTAAGTTTTCTATCAAATTGCTTCAGTGTAAGATGAAGCAATACCCCAGAGCTAGGCCCTCTGCTGCCATCCCACCTACATTAACCACGTGGAAGGGCTTTCTCAGGTGAGGCCTGTCTCATTGAACTCACCACTGTCTCATCTTCACTTTTGAGTCTTGAAATTGGAAACAGTTCAAGATGGAATAGCCCCATCTCCTCAGATGAAGCTCAGATTATGGGAGGCTGATGGGGTGGAAGAATACTGTATTTTAAATGAAGATTTTAATTTAGCAGATAGTAGCAAGTACAGCTGAGGAAATTGGTGCTTAGAAAGATTGTTTCATAGCCCAGATCACTGATCTGATATTTGAACTTGTCTGATTTCAAAGCCTATGTTACCAGATTACTCTCCAGCACTGACTTCCCAGGGATGTTCATGGAAATCACTGCTTCCCATATCGCCTCTCCCTTCTGTCCTTTTGCAAATCTTCAGGTTCATGGATGACTTAACCATGGTACCAGGCTGGGAAGGCAAAAGCCAGTGTGCAGAACAGTGGTTCTCAACCTTGGCTGTGTATTAAAATGAAACGAGGTGTTTATAAGAGTCCCGAGGCCCAGACCACTTATTCCAGAATTGAGAAGGCGAGTCCAGGGGTCCGCCATGAGCTGGTAAAGCTTCAACAGCCAACTCCCAGGAGAAAATCAAAAGCCCTGACTTGTAACATTTGCCAATTTCATGGTATTAACACTCCCACTGTGCTGATTTCAAGCTACCAAGGTGATATCCACTGGCTCACACAGTTCTGGAAATGTCACAATCTGTTCTTGCAAGTAGATAGGAGCTGGATCCAGTGCACCATTGAGAGGAATTTTTTTTAATTCCAATGTGGGGCCACATCTGAGAACCACTGGCCTACAGAAACCAGAGTCACCTGGGATCCTGGGGATCCTGGGAGAAGGCGAACAGCAAAGTCTATGTAAAGCCTGGAAGAGGAAGGGAAGGAGTAGAAGGGAACAGGAGGGGAGGGAAGGAAAAAACGTAAAGAAAGAAACTATCTATGGGAAGCAATACAGAACAAGGTACCTAGCCAGCTGGGGTAGCAAAGGCCAGGGTCTCTAGCATCAGCTAATTCACTAGGGTGAGTCTGTTCTTCAGGTTTTAAAATGTCAATGCCACAGGTGCTTTCATTGACTACTTTGCAAAGAAAAAGAAGATGCATTTTGATTGAAAATAATTGCCTCCCATGTGTAATGATTAAACATATAAACCCTTACCAATAGTGAGAATTTCTGATTTTGTTCCCTCAAGCTTTTTATTGCTTCTGGAATATAGCTTGTTCTTTAACAACTAATATAAAGCAACAAGATTTCAATCAAGTTTGAAATTGAGCCGACCCTCACCCTCCTCTCATCCCTTCAACACAGATCTGTACTGTGTAGGGCACAGGCCATGACTAAGACATAACAGGAGCAGTGCGAAGTGAAACAGATCCTCTAGAAAGCTCATTTTCTCATCTATAAAAGTGAGAAAGTCGTTCCCCTTCCCCTAGAGTTGCTGTGAGAAGGGACTGAGATGGCATATGGGAAACACAGTACGCAGTGGTTCTCAACCTTCTGGCCCTTTAAATACAGTTCCTCATGTTGTGACCCAACCATAAAATTATTTTCGTTGCTACTTCATAACTGTAATTTTGCTACTGTTATGAATCGTCATGTAAATATCTGATATGCAGGATGGTCTTAGGCGACCCCTGTGAAAGGGTCGTTTGACCGCCAAAGGGGTCGCAACCCACAGGTTGAGAACTGCTGGTATAGGGCAAGACATTCAGTAAACTGCAATTTATAGGAATTCAACCATATACGTAGGCATGGATAACAACCAGCCTTTTGAGAAGAGTTCAGGTTCTCATTATAGACTTTTCCATTGCTCTTTGTCTTCTTAATTTGGTTGAAAAATTGTTCTTCTCTAGATTCCCAAGTTGTCCATGTTCTGAAAGAGAGAAAACTCAGAGGGAAGACAGTGAGTGGATAGGAGCCCTGACCAAGTGAAATAGACACAGAACAAATGAGGGGTGCCTGCGCCCCGCCCCTCCTCCCCACCTGCGTCCATGCTCCATTTTTTGGACAGCTCAGTGGTGGCAACTGGCCACACAGATTCCAACAGCAGCAGAAATACTTCCTAGTGACCTTCATAGTGTTTCGTGAAGTCAGACTTGATGTCTGAGCGCTATATCCATTATTTTATTTTCTCCCTCTTTGCCATCTCACCTCCAACCTTTACCCTGTAGGAGCTGTTCTAAGACCCAACTTGCCCATTGCTGCCTCATTTCTGATCAGTTTCAAATCACATCCTAGTTTCCTTTATACTCAATCATTATAATAAGCCACTTATAATACAGAACTCCCTTCTAGCCAGCTCCTACATTTATTTGCAATGTCTGTTAAAATAAATAATCTACAGTTTTAGTATTGTTCTTCTTGTTCAGTTAAGATCTCCAGGGTCAGTTCCATGTAAAAGGCCATCAGTCTGAAGGGAGATAATGTTGTCCTGATTTCTATATAACTAATCACACTTGTGATCCTTTCTGCAGGAAGAATTCAGTTATGGGGACACCCCATTGCAGTAGATTGGGCAGAACCAGAAATAGAAGTTGATGAAGACACAATGTCTTCAGTGAAAATCCTGTATGTAAGAAACCTAATGCTGTCTACCTCTGAAGAGATGATTGAAAAAGAATTCAATAATATTAAACCAGGTAAGACATATCGTAGAAGATAACTTGTTCAAAACATATTTTAAAAACACTTGTGCTTACAATGACTTCCATAATTTCAAACAATATAGCTTTCAGTTATCATTCTCAGAATTGCATGCAAATTACTAAAACTATTCTTATACCTTTGGATTAGAAAATAGGGACATGTGGTCCTATAACATTTATCAATATTATAGTTTTACACTTATCTGTGTGATTACTTAATGGATACACAGTTCTGTCACTAAACTATAAATTCCATGAGTTCTTCTTGCTCTTATTGTCTCTTCAGCCCCTGTCTTTGTGTCTGAAACATGTTAGATGCTTGACAAGTATTGACTGTATTAATGAATACACGGCCTAATCTAATACATGCTTTCTCAATCTCAGTACTCTTGACATTTGGGGCCAGATAATTTCTGGTTGTGGAGGTCTGTCCTATACACTATAGGAGATTTGGCAGCATCCCAGTCCTTTGCCCACTAGATGCCAGTAGCAACCCCCAATACGTAATAACCAAAACTACCTCCAGACATTGCCAAATGTACTGTAGAGGGCAAAGGTGCCCCCAGTTTGGAATCACTGGTCTCATGGAATATGATTGTGAGTTTAGGTTCATAAGTAAGTAGGTGACAATTAATTCTAGAAAACTCATTTGGGCAAAGAAGAAGGAATAGAGGGAAGGTGGAGGGCAATAATTAGCTGCTGCTCATCTTATCAATACTTTTCAGTATCAATCTGAAGTCATGAGATTGACAACCCCTCTCTTTTTTTCTCATGTAAGAGCTACAACACTGAGGCAGGTAAAGCATTTCAAGAAGCAAAGTGCAAACAAGCTTTTCCCAAAGTCAGTTCCGTAGAACATTATTTCTACAGACTGTTAGCAGATGTTACTGATAAAAGAGGTTCATAGTCAAATAAGTTTGAAAACACTAGAAACAACAAAATTAAATAGATTTTTTTACTGTGGGACTCATCGGAGTCCTTAACCTTCTAATAGGCTTTGAAAGTCTCTGAGAAAAGAGATGGAGGATGCTGGATTTACCAAATATTTGGACCCTGCATCCCATTTTTTTGGCAGACCAGCTTGTGGGATTACTGCGTCTTGGAACACACTCTAGCCCAAGTGTATTACTGTGTTGACACCTTTCTGGAAATGAGAATTTTTCTGTCTCCAGCAGTAACTCTGGAGTAGTTAGTTGATCGACAGCAGCCACGGTGCCATCATGTTCAAACTGCCTGAGAATACTCACTTCACATAGTCCTGCTGCCTGGGTTCCGTGTCAGGTGTAACAGAATAAGCTAATTTTTTCTAAAGGTAATTACTAAGGATGTCATTTCTCCCTTTTCAAAGATTCACCAGAGATTTGTCTATTTCCAGCCTTCAGGAACTCTGCCTTCCCTGCCATTGTGGTGTATGGTGTCTCCATACCACTAGCTACCAATCCAGAGAGTGGGAAGGATTAACTGCCTCACTGTGTGCCAGGCACTGCAGTGGGCACTTTCACAGCACGTGCCATGTATTTTTCACAACAACCCTAGCATGTAGGTTACTTTATTACTTAAATTATTCCCTAGATTAGAAAACTAGGAACCAAGGCAATTAAGTAATTTGCCTGGGATCATAGAGCTAGCAAGTGGAAAATACAAGATTTGAATTCAAGTCTGGTTTAGAGCTTGCTCTTAACAACCCTGTGACACCCATGCTCCATCCCCACTACATTTGCTCACTCATTCATTCAACTGTCATTAGTTTAGTAGCTCCTATATGCCAAGCACTAGGAAGAAGCTAACAAGTGTGGTGTGTGTGTAAGGAGTTTAAGATGCTTCAGAAGAGTAACAGGAATGAAAGTCTACTCTTGGGGTGCAGAGGAGACTCATGGTTAGCAGAAGTGACATGTAAACTGAGATCTGAAAGTTGATGGAGTCGTGGGCATAGGAACTGACATTGTGTACAAAAATAATACTTCCTCACCAGCCTCCCCCCCACACACACACACACTTTGTGTTGACTTTCTATCTTCCCAGAGCAAATAATACCTCTTAGTTTTATCTACAGTAACTGAAGACATTACCTTTCTTAGAAAAGGACAGGAATGAGAAACTACTAAAAGGCTGCTTCCTTTCAGTTACTGATTATCAGCTTTCCAAGTCTGCACGTAGAAGAGAGACACGTGGCCAGGCCCAGTTAATTATATGAAAACAATCAGTGAATTGCAGAGGGTGGAGACTAGCAGACACCTGCTGTATTGGAAAGAAAAAGTCAGAGCCAACTAGTTTCTTTTCCAGTGGAAAAGATGAGATTAGATCCCTCAGAGGAATCAGAGCATTCCCTGCAAATATTTGATCATGTGTTATTTTAACCCTGATTAACCTGAAAATAGTACAGTGTCACTCAGAAAAATAAATGGCAATCAGAACAGAAACTGGGGCCTTAAAAATGTGTACTCTTCCCTAGTGTAGCCCAAGGGTATTTGCTGAAATTCTGACTCTAGGCATTCTTCAGAATCTGATTTTCCAAACAATTTAACATCAGAATCACCTGGAGGGCATGTTAAAACAGATTGCTAAACCTACCCCCTGAGTTTTTTATTCAGTAGGTCTGGGGAGTGGGTCCAGAAATTTGCATTTCTATTGCGTTCCCAGCTGAAGCTGATACTACTGGTCTTGGGACCACACTTTGAGAATCATGGCCCTTTGATAATCTTTGGATTACCGGTGTGTTTCTCTTCTGGTAATTTATGTCTCCTGACAAATTGATAATAAACAAAGTCATATTTTTCCAATTATGATTTCAGAGAGTCTTCATTATTGCTGATGGGTTACCACTGATATTTTATTACCTCACCTTCTACCCAATGAATATCAATCAAAATAAATTCCTATACTCTAAAGAAGGAATACAATAAAGTAGCCATGTGGTGAATACTATTGTAGAGAAAAACAACTTTTATGATAACAAACTCTCACTTTCTCATTTGTCTGTTTTATGGGGCTAAATTTTCATATATCAACCCTTCCAAAATCAGGTATGGGTAGTCATTATTGCTCAAAAATGCAAGCTGATTTCAACATCTGCAAGATGAATTTTAGGACACCTAAATCATTATCATCTGAAATGCCACCCAACTAATGGGCATGATAGAAGTTGGAGAGTGAATTGACTGATAATGTGTGCTCATTCCATGTCTATTTACTGAGCAGCACCAGGCACTAGTGAGGAACTGGGTGGAGACTACCCCAAGATGCCTCTGAAGCAGATGCTGCCCTCAGGGTGCTAACAGTCCAGGAAAACCTGGATGGAGGATTGCACTGATGAATAAATGGATCAAAGATGAGAAGGGTAAAGGTCCTCCAAGGCCCATCTCTTACTTCTCAATGACTAAGACAAGCCATGGGGTAGAGTCAAGAATTAGCCCACCTGACACTGAAGGAACAAAGAGGCCATGCTGGAATTCGGTTAATTGCATGTCCCATGCTTCATGGTTTCAGCTACCTTCATTTATTTTTTCAGCTTGACAAGACAATCTTGCTCTGTACAGCCATTGTCATAAGAAGTCAAGGGTTGAGTGCTGAGGGGACAGAGAAGAGAGGACTGCCATGTTTTTAAATTATCCTTACATTACAGCACTATCATTATCACAAAGGAAGACAGATTATAACTATTAGCCACGTGGTTGAGTAGAAACTCTGCTTGCTTTGTGACTTTGGATCTAAGAGGATAATTGAACTTTGATAGTGGAGGAAGAAAGGAGGACCTATCGCCTCTTCTGGTTCTGGTATAGGGACTCATCCTATATTGTCTCTAGAAACTAAGCATTTCAGGAAAAGAAAACATGGTCTCTGAAGTTACACCCAAGTGAGTATAACTAACAGTATAGCAACATGCTAAACCGCTAACAAGTTAATGTTAAACAAGTTTCCATCTTAACATCATTCTAGACAAAAGTTAATTTTTAAAATTGAGCAACCAACAATATTCTTGAACAAAAGGTTAATGATGATTCTTTCACTGTGTTTATAGGTGCTGTGGAGAGGGTGAAGAAAATCCGAGACTATGCTTTCGTGCACTTCAATAACCGAGAAGATGCAATTGAGGCCATGAAAGCTTTAAATGGGAAGGTAATGTAGACAAAGAAAAAA